TGGGAAGGTCTTTTGGTCAGCGGTGGTGCACGCCCATCATGCCAGCACTCAAGAGGCTGAGGCGGGAGGATCGCTGTGAGATCAGGGCCACCCTGGGCTACATAGTGAGCTCCAGGCCAGCCTGGATTACAAAGGGAGATGCCGTCTCCGAAAACCAAAGCAAGACACTTGGAGATAGATAAATTTATCTTATTTGGGGAGAGAGAAATACATCCATCCATCCAATAAAAAGCAGACCAGAATCTGACATCGTAAAAGGTACAAAGTTTTATTACACAAACCTGGGATCAATAGTATTATTACATAAATTAGACAGCAGTGAAATTTTCCTAGGCACTTATATGTATATATATATTTATATATATATGTACAAATCACAGTGGTTTCCATTGTACAAGGAATACACTGGGTTAGAGACAGGCTTGCTTATTGACTGCTTCCACGTGAGAATCTGGCCACCCCAGGTCAGGCTCGCCCTGCAGTACACGGAGCTATGTGAAGGGACCAAGGCTGCCCTGGGCCCACGGTGTCCACTGCAGTCCCTCGGGGCGCCGGGGCGTGGAGGCAACATGGTGAGGATCTGCCCGGAGTCTCACACACACACACACACACACACACACACACACACACACACAGAACGAAGGTATGAGAGTTGTGTAAAGCTAAACACAGACCTCCAGGGAGAAAGGAGGAGGATGGGAAGATTTCCCATCCCGTCTGCTAAAACACAAGTGGGCCAGATGTGGTGGTGCACGCTTGTTATCCCGCACTGGAGAGGCTGAGGCAGGAGGATCTCTCCGAGTTCGAGGCCAGCCTGGGCTAGTGAGTTCAAAGCCAGGCTGGAGTACACAGGGAGACCAAGTCTTAAAAAACAAACCAACAAAACATACGAAATGACTCTTATTAAATAACCAACATGAGCCAGTGAGGAAAATCAGGGTGAAAGGTCTTCTGACAACATCACGATTTGTGCAAACAGTGAACAGCACACCCTTGTTTTAGGACAAAGGGTGGTTTTGTTGGATGCGGGACCATAAAGATTTGCAAGGCTGCTTGCTACCAAAATGCAATGCCGAGGGACCCCCTTTCCCACACCGTGACGCCCCCACCCCGCAAGCTGTACAAACACACCAAGTTGGATACCCACGTGCTCATCCTCCTGTCAGTCCGTCGGACACAAACCAGCACTCGCGGCAGACTGGTTAGAAGGCGTGGGCCTGGTCAGAGAGAGGAGCATAGGGCCCCCCAAACCTTGCATCTGAGACAGGCTAAGAAACAACAACAGAACACGGCATTTCGAATTTCCGACCAACTTCACTGCATATATGTGATGCAGACCTAAACGGCAGCGGAGAATCTTTCTCGCATTCTGCTCCCGCAGGAAGGAGCTGCAGCGAGGTCTCGATCTTGTGGGTGAGGTGGTGGTGCGGGGAGCCGCGGACCGTGGCTGGTGGGGTTTGGGGAGCAGGGTGGAGCCCTGGGGTCACGGCTGTGGTGATCGCGGACGCACAGGGAACTTGGGTCAAACGGAAACGGCAAACGCGATCGACTGCACACAGCCGCGTAGCTCCTGTCCTGGCGATTCTCAATAATTTAAGGCCTAAGCAAAAATACACAGAACGCAAGCAGGGCAAAGCTGGTGGTGCAAATGCAGTGCGAGGTGGTTTGGCTTCTTCTGCCCGCACGGCCAGGAAGAGAAGCACCCCTGGATTTGAGCGGTAGGTGGGAAGGGGCCGCTCGTTTCCCATCCTTTGCGCTTGCGGTGTGCTTTGCTTTAGGCTACTGTTTTTTGCTTTTTCTGTTTTATTTGCATTATGAATGTCTTTGCTTATTGCATTATGTGCAGAGTGAAAATAAAACCTAAAAAATCAGTGTGTGACCAGCTGGGATGTGACTTCCTCGCCGGCCTTATAAGTGCACATCCAAGAAAACACCTGGCGCTTCCCCTTAGCAGAACAAGAGCGATCCCGTCATAATCTCCCTTGCAGTATATAAATATCCTAGCAATGGCTCCGCTGAGGCGTTCCTCTTTAAGAAAATACTGCCGGCTCTTGAAATGAGAGCAACCGAGATAAATCCTTTCTCTCTTTCGTCTTTTTTTTTGGCGGTTATAAATTTTCATGATTTCCCTGAACAAGTTGCACAGTGATTGTCCTTGATCTTTTCCATGAACATTTCAGAATGGAATTCAAGAAAACGAGGTTGCAATTATCCAGCAACTGTTCTGTTCCATGTTTATCACTCATGTTGATTAAACCAGTCTTACTATGATATCATTAAATTATATAATGGAAGGCCCCTGGCTTGGGGAGTTAACACATGGCCCGGGTCACTTCTGACATCCAGGACTCCAGGGACTTGAGTTGAAAACCCTCGCCTGCTCCTGGATTTCCTTTTGTGATTTTTCTTTTTTTGTACCGGGAATTGAACTCAGGACCTTGTGCTTGCCAGGCAGGCGCTTGTGCCGCTGAGCTACATCCCCGGCCCTATTGTTAACTGGTTTTGTTTGTAGAAGTGATTTCAAAGACCTGGGAAAGAAGGCGTGTACACGCTGGGTCTTCTTGTCATTAGGAATTAAGGCAAAGCATTCCAGGATCTGGAATGCTAATTTCTACTTCATCATCTAAGCTTGGATACTAAGAACTGGACCTAAAATGAACTCTCTCAGTCCTTGAGTCTAACCCTAGCCCTAACACCTCACCCTAAGCTCCAACCCCTCAGCCTAAACACTAACCCCTAACCCCAAACACTAACCCCTAACCCTAAACTCTAAACCCTGACCCTAAACCCCTAAGCCCAACCCTAAGAGTCTACCATTTTTCTAGACCTGAACTCACGGGTGGCCTTTCGTGGATTTATTGAAGCAGAAGGCTCAACTGTAACTCACAGGCAGAGGACCTCAGCTGTTTCCTGGTATGCCCATTTCTCAGAAGTGCCTCACATCCCCTGGTGGGAAAGATCAGAGATTGCAGTTGGGGATGTAGCCAGCGGCACAGGATATCTCCAGCAGCACTGAAAAGCAAACAAACTAACAAGCAAACGAACTCACGGATGAAAATAAAAGCCAGTTCAAAGGCTGCAGGCCACACTGTTAGGCAACTGGGGCTCTTAACTTTCCAGCCCAAGCAGACAGGGCTGTAGAAACCCAGAGCGAAGAGGCAGGTCCAGAGAAATGTGTGCGGGGACCTGAGCACCTGAGCAGAACTTTCCCTGGTGTGCTTTACTGCAAAGAGTTTAGGTCACAGAAACGGGCCCTGCTCCTGCAGCATGAAGCCAGCTGACTTCTACGCAAAAGATAAGGTCACTGATAAAAAGCACAGCAGTGGCAGAGGGCTGGTTTCTGAAATTCCACTGCCTTTTGAAGCCCTTTAAGGGGCAAGTCCTTTGCATTTCGACTTCCAATACCCCAGGCCACAGACTTCCGCTTTGTGGGGGGAGACCTGGAGCGAGCACATTTTCCTTGCTATTTCGCTTCTCCAGGAAAATACAACTTTCCCTGAGAAGAAGAGCTGTAGCGCTGGCAGAAGGTAAGTGCTAAACGGCATCCACCAGCCCCTCTGCTTCTTGCCCTTGTTTTAATTTTTATTTCTTTTTGCAAAACTGAGCTTTGAAACCAGAGCCTCTGCACCGAGCTAACTCCCCAGCCCTTTTTAAAATTTTGAGACAGGGTCTTGTGAAGTCACTAAGTTGCCCACCTTGGATGCTCCTGCCTCAGCCTCCCCGAATTCAAGGATGACAGGCTCAGAGTTCTGTGTCTGTCTGGCTGTCATCAAGGAAGGGTGCACCAAGGGCTCAGACATCTGCTTTTTCAAATGCACTGATTTCCAAGAAGGGCCTGAAGCACAAGCAGAAATATCACAGATCTTTTTTTTTTTGGTTTTTCTCCGGTACCGGGAACCGAACTCACGACCTTGCGCTTGCCAGGCAGGCGCTTT